CGGTAAAAGTTTATAGAAAAAAAATTGCACACAATAAAGACACTTATTATCGGCAGTAACTAGTGCGAAAAGCCGCGTATCCACCGAAAATGTTGGCAACTTCTATGTTTCCAACTGTTTGCAACTCAATAAAAGTTACCAACTTTTGTTTCCGTTTTTTCCGCACCGAATTGAAACAAGTCGCCAACAATTTGAGAAACATTTTAGTTGACAGCTTGCTGTCTCCACCAAAGTTTTGTTGGCAACAATATGTCTTCAAGCGACGATATGATGCAGGCAGTCGCAGTATTTATAATTTTTATTAAACAAAGTATTATGAACATTAGTAACTAGGTTTAAACTCGCAAGTTTGCTATGATAAAGTGATTCTTCTGCTCTTGTACTATTATTTGTTCTGTCATAACAGCGAGTATTCGCGGAATATATCATATATTATACCCAATTTATAAACATGATAAGCGCGGTTGGTATCAAGGCTAATTTCCTAATTTTAATCTGTACACGTCACTGGGTATAAGTGAAGATTTTCGATTGTCGGTTAAGAAATATATAATATAAATATTTTGTGTAATACTTACACGTGACTCATTTATTCTCTTTTATACACATAACCTAGGTTCATTTCTGTCGGTAAAAAAAAGCCGTTGGTAGGCAAACTACCTCGGAGTATAAGAAGTCGCAGCTCCAGATTTATTTTCATCTTTAATTTTATTCTTCCCTGAAAAACTCTCCCGTCAATTTTTTATTTTTCTTTGAATTTCTAGTTCGTTTAGCCCCATACCGTCACTTATATTTTCCATGCATCCTTTTTATTTTTATTTTTATAATTTTCATCACACATATCTCATAATATATTTTGTGAACGATATACATTAATCAATGTGTCGATTAACTCGTTCGTCCACGTGACAGACATGTTGCCAGCTAATGTTTCCAACAAGCGTCTCCACAAAGGGAACAAATGTTTGCAACAAGCGTATTCCTTTGATGTTATCGCCGAAAATGGAACACGGTTCCCGAGATTGTTTACAATTTTTGTTGCCTAACTAAGTAATTCATTATTTTCATTAGAGCCATTCACAAGTCCACTGCTGAACATAGGCCTCCCCCAAGGAATGCCACAAAGCATGGTCCTGAGCCACCTGCATCCTTCGACTTCCTGCATAACTTACCAGGTCGTCACTCCATCTAGAGGGGGGTCGCCCTACACTTCGCCTGCCGGTACGATTGACCTCTCGGTCGAAGTTGGACTTACCTAGTCGGAATATTTGTCCCAGGTAAACATACTCGTCAACAACTTCGAGCTTAGTGCTCCCAACAACTACCGGCATATGTGTGACATGGACATTAAACATGATCTTTGTTTTGTCCATGTTCATCTTAAGACCTATCTGTTGGGAAACACTATTGTGGTCATTGAGCATAGTGCTTAGGTCCTCCAGCGATTCTGCCATAAGGACTATATCGTCGGCAAATCGAAGGTGAGTGATGTACTCGCCATTGATGTTGATACCGTATCCTTACCAGTCCAGAAGCTTGAAAACGTCTTCCAATGCAGCGGTGAAGAGCTTCGGGGATATAACGTGACTCCGTCTTACACTTCTCTGCAGTTGGATAGGTTTCGTACTCGGATAGCCATCATAGTTCTACTGTACAAGCACTTCAACACTTCGATATACCGATAGTCAACTTGGCACCGCTGAAGGGACTGCAGCACCGCCCAAATTTCGACGTAATCAAAGGCTTTCTCAAAGTCCACAGCCAGACATAGTGGCAAATTGTACTCCTCGGACTTCTGTACAATTTGCCGAAGGGTATGTATGTGGTCTATGGTGCAAAAGCCCTTTCGGAAACCGGCTTGTTCGGGAGGCTGGAAGTCGTCAAGTCTGCCCGTGAGACGATTCTTAATGACTCTCGAAAACAGCACGTAGACGCGGCTCAGTAGGGAAATCGGTCTGTAGTTCTTCAAGAGAGCGTTGTCGCCTTTCTTGAAGAACAAGACCACTTCTGCTCCACGCCTCCGGTGTAATGCACCATGTGATCCACCATGGAGGACGGAATTAAAGGGCTTCTGAAGGACTTCAAGTACCGGTTTTCCACCCGCTTTCAGAAGCTCCGCTGTAATTCCATCCTCGCCTGGGGCCTTGCCGTTTTTAAGGTGCTGGAGAGCCATTCTAATCTCGCTCAGACTGACGTTCGGGATATCTTCGGAATAGTGTCGGATAAGACTCGCTCTTGGATCGTTACTCACACTTGCGTGTGGCTCCAACGATGATGTGTACAGCTGCCTATAGAACCTCTGAATCTCACTCAAAATCTCAGGTGTCCCGGAAATGACGCACACTCGGCCGGCTCGGACACACTCGGCCTTCAGCTTCGACAGTTGGCGCTTTCTGGCAGACAGATCTCTAGCAAAGACTTTGGAGCCCTGGTTCCGCTCGATCGCTTCTTTAATACGAGCAGTATTAAAGTTGCGTAAGTCCCGCCGCATGCATTTGGAGATCTGTCTGTTCAGGTGCCTGTATGCTGTCTGAAGACTGCAGCTTCATATCCCGTCTAACAGCCATGAGATTAAGAGTGTGATCGGAGTTTTTGTGTTCTTCTGCGGCGGGTCTTGCAAAACTTAGCTCCGACCGCATGGACAGTTTCCACAAGCTTGGCATTAACTAGGTAATTAACAGAATCATTTGTCACCAACATGTGTTGACAACACAAAAGTTAGTAACTTTTCTTTGGTGGAGACGGCAAAAGAGTTAAGACTGCGGTTTGTTTATCGATCACAGATAGGTAGGTAGAAATATAACAATGCATTTAATTAGTATTTGCATACTATTTTTAAAAGCTTTTTTTTTTAAAGATATTTGTGCAAACAAATTTTATTAAGCAGAAAGTAGCTAACAAACAAAATGGTGGTAAAATTTTGTATACAGGTGTCTTAAAAAACAACGTCAAACCCGAATCTTTGGCCAGGTGGTGATAGTCATCACAAAAAGTCATGTACTTTTAAAATTATACGCATTCGATTGCGCTGGCTGTGGCTTTATTTCATGCTATGCTACTTTGACTTTGTGTATTAACTCCATTACATTGTGATTAGGAGCTTAAAAATCTAGTGTCCTTTAAAGCATTTTAACTAACTAAAAGTCAGTTGTTTTTCAATTTAAGATTCTTGGAACAGTTTGCAAGTGAAGCCTTAGTCTCTAACCTTAGTATACTATTTTGGATTTTTTTAATAGCTGTAAATGTTTAAACAGTCATTGATTATTGTTTTAATGCGCAAAACGTATTTATACTTTTTTTATTAATGACTTGTAGCCCTTAGACTGTAGAGGCCACTTACCATCTGGTGAAATGCCAGTTCGCTTCTCATTTTAATGTTATAAAAAAAAACTTCGGCGAAACCTAATGGATTAATGAAAGATAATGTATTTCTTTAGCTATAATTTGATTGCAACAATAAACAACATAAATTTATGAAGCCCAATACATATTGGGAAAAATGTTACATAAAATTAAAACTCTTTCACTGTCCCGTTGAATCATATATGAACATATCGATTGCTTTACTATTGTGCCTATTTCACAGAAAGGGAAACTGTTAACACAAAATTATCACTAATGCTTCCCGCACAATAATCCCGATTTTTTATTTATTTTCTTTTTACTGTCAATAACTTAGTTCTTCGGCACAAAACAATAGTTCAGTACTTTAGAATAAATATTGTGCATTGACAAACATCGGAAAAAATAGTATCTGTACATTACAAAAAATATTGAGGAAAGTAATTTAGTCCTAAAACACTGGCAATTTTAACTATATCATAAACGAATAAATATCAATAACATTTTTAAGAACAGCAATTAGTTGCAAGCCGTGCGAGCGACGCTGCAAATAAGTTCGTCACGATAAGGATTGAACGAAGAGAGGACGTGCGCAACTGTTCGGTGGAATCATACAGAGCTGGATAATATAACAGGCATCATGTTTTTTTTTTCAAAATAAGAATCTCGTTATAATAATTTGGTAATAGCGACTCTATGTCCGAGGTTTCTAAAGTGTGCGCCGCGTAGGAAGTAAATAGGGACGCCGCTTCTGAAACTCTTTTGTGACAATAGTCTTAAAACTTGCTTGTTTCGATTTGGTGGAGTTAGATAACGGTTAAAAATGAATATCTAACTCTAACCTCAAAAATTTTAACAATTCTGAATTCCTTTGCAACGTCTTATTTATGCGAAGCTGGATTTTAAGCTGTAGCTATAATAAAGAGTGAATATAATTCAAAAGTTAATCTGTGGAAAATAATGAGAGTAGCAATATCAAGTATTATCTTGAATTTTGATAAAACTTGTGGACATCAGCAAGATTACAGGATTGGCTGACTTATCATTAAAAGTTTTCGCCTTTTGTATTTTAATTTTTTTCTGTCAATTATATGATGCTATTCTTTTGATAAAGTCGTTTTAATTTTTATATCTTATTGGTGTCATTTCACATATATTTTTACAAGGATACCGGGACAAGATACAATATCTAAGAGTACGTCGTAAAGTGAAAAACTTTGGGAACCATGCTCTATATTATATACCGTCTCGATGCGGTTGGTCATATTTGGAAATACTAAGTCAGTCGATGCATAATATTTTGCTTATTTTTTGTTGATATTGCTTGTAATTGGTCAAATGTAGGTTAGTAGTATAGTTGTAGCACGAATAGTTCGGCTCGACCTGGGAAGGACCGCGCACTCACAAAATACCAGCGTAAAATAGCAGCTTAACGCTGCTTTTCGTATGGTGAGTGAAGAGAACCAGAGACCCCTTTTACTGGAAACGAGGCATTCCATCTTAGTCCTCACGGGTGACAACGCATCTGCAATTTGAGCCGTAGTCGAGGATAGATGTAAATGTCTATGGGCCACAGCAACTACTTACCATCAGGTGGAGTGTGTGCTCGTTTGCCGCCTATATAAAAAATGGAGTGTAAAGTAGGAGCGTGCACTAACTGTTCTCGTCGAAGATGGCGAAGACGACGTTGACGAGGTGCGGGTGCAGGTCGACGTGCGCCACGGTGCGCGCCACGTGGCGCAGCGTGGCCGGGTCGATGGACGCGCCCGCGATGTGGTAGAACGTCAGCGCCGTGTCCACGTCGTTGATGTTGTTCAGCAGGTGGAAGAACTTCAGGTAGTCGTCCTTCGTGATGCCCACGCCGTGGTCGCGGTACCTACGCTCACAATCCACTCGCTCATATTCTGTGCAACTGGCTCGGCGCTACCGATCATATCAGCGGCTTTATGCTCAATTCTATTCCCTTTCTCTTACTAGATAATACTTGAGTTCTTTTAAAAAAATACTATTAACGCTATTAAAATTACTAAACATCCCGTTCAAAACTTTAAGTAAGCTTAAAATGCTTGTGTTAAAGCGTTTTTCACCACAGTAGTCGAATGGCGTATTCGAGTTAGCAGTCCGCACCCTACCTTACTTAGGCTTACTATATAGAATAATCTCTACAAACATTTTATCTATTGTAATACATTTTAAGTTATTATCATTACCAGTGATCAATCTTTTCAAAAATAGGGCTTAGCTTTCCATTGACGTCCGTCGAGTTGGGGGTTGATATTGAAACTTTGCGTGTGTGCTTATAATAATGTAACCTTTCTGTAAAAAAATATTAACCCCCAACTTGACGGACGTCAATGGGGATTGGCATAAATATTGCAAAAATAATTGATTTTAAATATTTTTTTTTCTCAAAAAGTACAAGTTTCTGCGTGTTGAAACTTTGCGTGTGTGCTTATAATAAGGTAACCTTTCTGTAAATTTTTCCCCGACCTATTATTTATTATATTTTCCTTAAAATAAATTCAATAATAATCTTGAAATATAAGTACATTGTCATGAAAATCTGCATTTAGAAAACTGAATTTGTCATTTTCTAAATGCAGATGCAAGCCCAATCTTATTATCATGTACGCAATAAAAGTACGCACAAATATAAAGACATTCGCCAATCATAACCTACCAGTGCCCGTTGCAATGATTTTTTAACTCATCCATATTTTAAAATTAAACTGATTCTTAACATTTTGTGCTCGTTAACTGACCAACTGATAGTACTTAGCACAAACCAAGACAAGTGATGCATGAATCTTTTATAATTTACCTGCACCGCACTGTTTTAAAAAGGCCTTAATAAAGTCAAATTAATTCTATGCGAAACACATAATTTTAATTCAGAAACTTTAGTTATCTGCATCCAAGCGATATGATACAATCACATACTAGTTGTCGTCCCAGAGGATCGTAATTATGAGACTAAGGGAAACGCTATAACTAATCTAACTTTCAAACGTGGTAGAGCTATGCTGCAGCTATATTAGTAGTATAGTTGTAGCACGAATGGGTGGGCTCGACCGGGGAAGGACCACGCTCTCACAGAATACCAGCGTAAAATAGCAGCTTGACACTGCTGTGTTTCGTATGGCGAGTGTAGAGAACCGGAGACAAAAGAGGCATTCTATCTTAGTCCTCACGGGTGACAACACATCTGCATTTTTTCGCAAACGAGGATAGATGTAGATGTCTATGGGCAACCACTTACCATCAGGTGGACTGTGTGCTTGTTTGTCACCCTATCCTATAAAAAAAAACTAACGTAACTAGTAAACGTTTTGGCCCTACACTTATAAATAGTGGAAAACATCGTAAACCAATTTTTATAAAAGAAAGCGTTATTATTTTGCATTTAACTTACATCTTTTTCACGCGTTTAAGCATTCTTGCCTTTTTTTTCGCTGGATAGCCTGCGTAGGCGAGCAAAAGTTCGGCAAAGTCCGCTTCAGTTATACGTCCATTTTCATCTGGAGAACATGAAAAAAATCATGATACAGATCAGTGAATTAATTTAATGATTTTAAAAGTAGGTAAATATAAAAAAGTCCGACGAATATATAATGTTGGTACAATCAAAGCACCAAAAATGTTGAGAGGGTTTTAGGGTAGGAAAGAATCACTTGTCTCATAAATATTTTAGGGTCGATGAGATGAATTCGATTAGCAATTTTAACAGTGCGAATGGTGATCGAACTTGTGTTGCCTGATAATATGATGAAATTTAAGGCGAGTGGCCTGTTTTTGAACTACCAAAACTCAGTAATAAGTATTTTATGTTATATAGATTTAAGATCTAAAGCGGAGATGATTCATTTTACTGTACTGTATTTTACATTCCGTGAAAATTCTAAGTTCTTTTGGGTTTAATATTCCCTCCGGCTGGTTAGTTTATCTATATCTCTTATCAAACACAAATTGTTTGGGGATCTTGTCGTATTTGGCTTGTAGGGTAGGAACTTTGGTGTAAGTTCTATCAATTATACATGTGTGAGGGACGCTTTTTATAGTATGTTGTACGTGAACGTTAGCTGCAGCATAGCGTCTAACGCTGCAATTGGTGTAGTCCTTATGCAGCCTGTAGCAGCCATACATGCCAATCGCTAGTATCGCTGAAACTTCTTTATAGTGGTGGCTTCAATTATTTTGGTCCACCATACCGGAGCACCGGTTATGATCATCGGTCGAATTACAGTTTTGTACAGCCACAGTATGATTTTTGGGGACAAACCCCGCCGTTTACCAATCATGTTTGCCTGCGTTGTCAGAAAGCTATACTACCCATGTTGATTTTGTTTTCTATGTGTTTACTCCAATTGAACTTACTGTCCACGGTAAGACCTATTTTACCTCAGAGGACAGCTGGAGTTTTGTGCTAAAAAGACGTTGAAGGTGATAGTTTTCCAGCATTCGTTTTTGTCAACATTATTAAAAAAGGTTTTAGGCTGCGTTTTTACCAGAGATGTGTGAGAATGTGTACCGAGGGATGTGTTTGTTAAGAACCAATAGAATCACTTCATTTACCTCGCCTCGATCAGCGCAGCTCTAGTGGAATGGCTCAACGGAGCGAGGTTTTGGTACATACAAAACAAGGGAAGAATGTGTGCGAAGGATGTGTTGCGAGGGATGTATTCGAGCGCTGTTTGTGAGGTATCTACTGCACTACGCATCCTCGCACCGCTCAGCGGCCTAGCACATCTCTGGTGGAACCGCTCACACCGTTCCACAGCCTCGCTATGCATCCTCGTACCGTCCAGCTACCTCGCACATCTCTGGTGGAAACGCAGCCTTACTATGGTTAACGGTTAAGCGATATTCCTTACACCATCTCCCCACTTTAGATACGTTTTATGTTCACACTCAGTCTGTGACATGTTATGTTCTTGTACAATATAGAGAGAGACACCATCATGTTGGAAGTATTTCATTGCAAATTGTGTATTAGACTAGTCTTACATGTGTTTTTACTGTATCTGTGCACATTGGAGACACATTTCACTACAATACAAGTAGAAAAGAAACACAACAACAAAACACATGTGTTAAACCTGTTTCAAACAGGGAAATATTTTTGAGTTGTTAATGTCATCACGTTTTCGGCGAGTTTCGTATACAACTATTCTCAAAACTTGTTTTAGGTGTAAACAATAAATGAAAACAGTGTATATAACGTGTACAATACATGTTTTAAATCTTAATTTTGTAGTAACGTAGGAAAAACTACACATACCTGGTTGTTTTCTCTGGAATTCTAAAGACAATATTTCTTTTTGTAGTTGTTGTTGAAAGTCCAAAAACTTTTCAATTGTCAGTTTCTCGTTCAGTTTTGGACCGAAGAAATAAGTGGTTAACGCCGAATTAATGCCCTGAAAATTAAATTTTAGTTTTATATATTTCTATTTTACCATAATATCAAACTGGCAAAAGAGCTAACAGTAGACTTGATGGTACGTGGCTACTGCAGCCCAAAAATCAGTAACCAATATCAAACAAAGAAGTAGAATGAAGAATCAACAGATGCGTTTTCTTCCCTAAGGACTAAAATGGATATCATTATCGCTTAAGGTTAATATCGAATAACTAAGAAGGGAAATAATGTAACGCATCCTATTTAAAAATTATATAATTTTTTTTGTTTTGAAATAACCTAATTTCACGGAAATTAGCGATATATTGAACATGGACAAAATTAAGAACAGCTTTAATCTTCGAGCATATTTGCGTAGGTATAGGGATGTAAAAGAAGCGAGAGAATTATGTCAGCATTGTGCCAAATGCATGTTCATAGTCTCAGCCTACTTCTCTGGTTGGCGGACGCGACAATTTTTGTATGTATGTATGTATAAAAAAGGTTTAAAGCCCCAAGAATGATTTGAACATTTGGCTACAGTACTGTTAGTTTGAATTCAATAGAGGGCAGCTTTGAAGATGAAGAGAAGACAGGTCGAAAAATTTATTCAAGAAAACTACGTTACTTATGTGGAACTTGAGAACTGAGTATTGGATCAAAAGCAATCCAAACCATCATTCCCCACCAACTTTCTGTCCGTAAGTGTTGTTTGAGATGAATGCCGCACAAGCTTAAACAGAAATACCGACAGATGGATTGGTGTAAATTCATGTTAAAGATATTAGAAGCCACATTGGCGAGAGAAAGTACCTTTGAAAAAATTGTGCTCGTAGAAGGATAAGGGGAGATTTGTTATCGGGCAAGTTGTTTAGCTTACGTGGTAGTGTGGAGTTTTTTCTAAGAATACAAATTCAAGTCAAGAACCAAGACAACATCTCTGGCACCACGATAATGCAGCGCCATGCACTTCTGTCAGAACATACGACTTTTTTAATTTTTAATTTTAATAAACAAAAGTGTTCCTTACACGATACTGACCTTACGGATTTTATCGCGTTAATTTTAACTTTTACAGCACCTTTTATCGAACGAAATTCAAAACAAGCCCTACATCTAATAAGTTTAAAACAATTAGCGGTCCAATAAAGAAGCAATCCGAAAAATGAAATCTTGACGTGATTTCGATAATACCACCATATGCAAAAAAATACACAAACCAAACGCTCTACTACGTTTGATAGTGAGCTAAATCGTTTAACCAACTTATAAATTGGCTCAACACTTGGCAAAAAAACTGTCACCACTAAGAGAACACACAAAGGATTCATACCATTCAGTCAGCAAAATAATCTCGCTGATAATGAAACCATGGGCAGTTATGATGTCGAGTCACTATTTACATGCCTACCTATTGAAGACTGCATCTCAATTGTGACTAGGAAGCCAGAAGAAAACAACATGCCTGCAGAATACGCAATCCCACCAAAAACATTCTGTAAAAAACTAACCAAGTCTCGATGGAGCTGCTTGTTTATCTCTAAAAAGTAATGAAATCTAGAGAAAGTCGTGCCAAGTCTAAGGTTCCTTACTGCGATTTCTTTATTATTATAGTTAATGTTGTGTGACTTAGCCGTTGAAAAGTACACAAGGGTACAAAACCAGTTGCTACATGACACCATTGCACCAATCTGTCGCCAGAACCGCTACCCATTGACGATGGAAAATTGCCACTTTGAAAACGTTGATTGAATAATCAGTCAATTGTAAGCTTGATAAAGTTGCGTTTACACGTAATGTTGCAAGTAATTGTGTTTACACTTAATGTTATATCTGTTGTAACTACCTATGTTTGTTAAGCGAGATAATAGCCCATAGTGGTATTGGTAATTAGACGCTAGCGTCTCATTTTAGGCGGTTGTTGATTGTGCAACACATGCATTCAGCATTGACAAAGCTGACTACTGCTCTCTTCTTTTTGGAGCGTCAAATCGACCACCGATCTAAAATAAAATAGACGTACAGACGGACTTCTATCAATGATTCCGCCTCCTCCGAAGTCCGCCTGTACTGGAAATAATTTTTTATACTGTTTGTTTCAGGCTCGCCTATACAAAAGTATTATTGAAATAAGCAGATTTAGCAAGCCTCTAATTGAGTAGTTATTCAATCAACGTTTTCCAAGTGGCAATTTTCCATCGTTAATGGGTAGCGGTTCTGGCGACAGATTGATGCAATGGTGTGTATGCAATGTAGCACCTGGTTTTGTAACCTTGTGTTCCCTTCAACGGCCAAGTCACACAACATTAACTATAATAATAAAGAAATCGCAGTAAGGAACCTTAGACTTGGCACGACTTAGTCTAGATTTCATTACTTTTTAGAGATAAACAAGCAGCTCCATCGAGACTTGCTAGTTTTTATACAGAATGTTTTTGGTGGGATTTCACTGCTTTTTGTAGAAACGTGGGTATATTGATTTATTTTATTAGATTTTCTTATTTGACACATTTTTTTTCTTTTTAGGGATAGTTTTTTTTTAGTATTACAAATCTTTCTTTTCTTTTTTTCCGGTTCTGATTATTGTACAGTAGCAACAGTTTTTCGTATTGCCCATATGCCCATTCGGATGCAGGTGGCTCAGGACCGTGCTTTGTGGCATTCTTTGGGGGAGGCCTATGTTCAGCAGTGGACTTGTGAAGGGCTGTAATGATGATGATGATTCGCGTTCATTATTTATTCTTTTAAACGGTTTAGACGGTTTAATTTCTGAAAGATCGGCGCGGTATTTACGCCAAAGCCGGTGGTATTCGGTATTCGCCGAAGCTTGAGCTTTTATACTCTTGAAGTCAACATTTATGAGGTGCACCCCATGAAGATTGGTTACTCGTGAAAGCGCCACGTAGGCTTGGCCACAAGAGAATATGGAGGTGCCAATGTCCATGAGGGCATTTTTAGACTTAGACCTTGGCCCTTGTGAATTGTTAGGGCATACGCCACACAGATTGGGAATAGTTCTCTGTACACGTATTTTTTTTATGTACCAATAGTAGAAGGGAGCATTACCATATCTCTAATACATCTGAGACCAGCTGAGGGTTCTTCATGAGATACTTCAGACCTTCGATTTTTGACATCAAATGAAGCGGCCCACCAAGTTGTATATTTTTTGTAAAGGCGGTATGTCGATCTCTTCTAATAGTTTGGTTGGGCTCTTGTGTTTTCTAATCAGGGTCACCAGGTACTCCAGATCTTCGATTATCCTAGTTTTTATAGTTTTCTCTTTATGTGGCCATTAAACTCTCACTCTGTACCAAATTTCAGCTCTCTGAGTTTATGGGAAGTACTAGTTCTATTCTGATGATCATGAGTGAGTGAGTGAGTGTCATAAATGCGAAACTTTGCTTTCGCTTAACTTCGGAACTAAATGACCTACAGACTTGAAATTTTGGATTTTAAGTATGTGATTATAGCTTACTGGATGACGAAAATTTCTGGGTTCTGGTCTTATCCGGAGGTTCTCAAATAGGGGCCTGAAAACGCGGCGAAATGGTTCCAGTAAAGGATGGTACGGCAGTGTTTGCTTCGCGCTCGACTTGGCGGGGGCACTGTCGTGCCCCCCGATATTACTTGGACATTACTTTACGACTGGCTATTTATTGAGGAAGGATGAGTTCTACAATCAAGTAGATGGTGTGGCGCTGGGCTCGTCTGTATCTCACCGATATATACTCGTATTGTCGCCGATGGTATATACATGGAGGACTTTGAGAAGAAAGTCCATGCGGTACGGAGACAACACTTTCACAATTTTACCATCAGACAAAGTTACTGCATTCTTAGACCACCTTAACTCCACAAAGTCTTAAATTCACAATGGAGTTAGTGGCAAATAATTATTTTGCTTTCCTCGACGTTTTAGTCATTCGAAATCCTAATAACACCATCAGTCATACTGTGTATACAAATAATTTAAAATTAAAAATTTTGTACAGCCGACTTCAATATAAGTTATTTAAGAATAACTTAAAAACTATTGGTCTGACCTTGATCAAATTCATATGGGACCACACGAGAAGTACCAGCTTTCAAATAAAAAAAGAATCATCGAAATCGGTTCACCCAGAAAAAAGTTCTGAGGTAACACACATAAAAAAAAAAAAAAAAGAAAAAAAAAACATACAGTCGAATTGAGTACCGGCTCCTTTTTGGAAGTCGGCAGAAAAGACCCATTCTAACCGATATTTAAACAGTGAATTTCACCAATATCCTTCACAGTTAGCTACCGTTGAAAAATCTTTGTTTCAGAGAGTACAAAGGATCTGTGATAATAAACACCTGGCCGCCGAGCTCCAGCACGTCAAGCAAGTTTTGCAAGACAACAAGCTTCGGGTCCCGCCCCTCCGTCACAGTGACCGAGTGAAACCGGCCACAGTCGAGCGTGTGCCTACTGTACTACAATATGTTAGAGGATTTACAGACAATATAAGCTACATCTTGAAGCGAGCTTCATGATATGTATGTCGCATATGACAAACAAAAAGATCCATAAAAATCCGCGTAAGAAAACATATCGTTGATGTGAAGCACCGAAGCTACGGAAAGTCTGCAGCATTTAACATGTTCAGGATCGTCCCAACCATTAATCAGATTTGATAGACCAAATCCTCGTAAAAGAACACCGATTCCTACCAAGGAGGATTTGTGAGGCTATTGAAATAAAAAATAAAAACTACAACCTAATTTCAATACAGCTGGTTGGTTGCTACTATCTGCTTAGGGACCCCATAATTAATAAAATAAAATACCAACCCAAGCATACAACTGCAAGACTTCAAGATACTGTAAGTAGCCTTCGTTAACTATGACATCATGACATCAAGACATCAAACACAGTCCCCCCTGTGATCATGGGTGCTGTAAAGTGCCCGAAACGGGTTTAAAAAAGTTAAAATTAAACGCGATTAAATTCGTAATGGAATAACAATTTGTTTTATTCCATACAGATCAGTGCCAAAATATAAATGTCCAATAATTAAACCTTAGACTAGATGTCTAAGGTTGATTAATGGGTATTAAACATTCGTCAGAAGTTACGAAATTAGTTTTGTTTGACTCGTTGAATATGTGATGCCCAAAGAATATGGATTTGAACTATACTTCTAACAAAGAATTATCTTAACTCATGTATTGATGTTACTGGGTTAGAACGTGTGTACCTGCACCTGTGCAGTGTTCGCACTTGGCACTATATATCCTGCGCTGTTGATAGATTCCCGCAGAAGACGATAAGCAAAAAAAAAAAACAATTTTAATTCATTTTTTATAAACCTTAAAAGTATTGCCAGTATTTGCGTGGTCTCGATGTCGGGAGCCGATGCTGCTCTGTTGTCGAATGAGTGCTGCTACCTTTTCAAATTCTTCGCAGTCCACGTCACCGTCGCCATTCAGATCGAACATGCGAAATGCTATTTCAAAGTGGCGACGCGATGCTAAAACAAAGTTATTAACAAAATTATTAATTTTCCTTAGAAATTAAATGTATGATAAAAATGTTTTTTTTTTATAGGATAGGGTGACAAACGAGCACACAGTCCACCTGATGGTAAGTGGTTACTGTAACTCATAGACATCTACATCTATCCGCAGTAAAGACTCACAATGCAGATGCGTTGTCACCCGTGAGGACTAAGATAGAATGCCTCTTTTCCACTAAAAAGGGTATCCGGTTCTCTACACTCACCATACAAAACACAGCAGTGTTAAGCTATTTTACGCTGGTATTCTGTGAGAGCGTGCTCCTTCCCCGGTCGAGCCGACCCATTCGTGCTACAACTATACTACTAATATAGCTGCAGCATGGCTCTACCACATATAGAAAATGTATATTTAATGACTTTCTATATTGACTTTCTAAATTGGGCCAGTTTATCGGTGATCATAATGTAATGAGGTTTTATTTGTAATTTCAAAATTCTAGCTCTACACATAGGTTATGAATGTCTGAAGACAGTTGTTTGCATGAAAGTAACGTAATTATCCTGTTTTTTCTAGATCTATACGTTATTACCAATACTTTTATTTTATTTTTAGATTATTCTCAGCGTCACTTATGAATATTTTTTGATCTAAGTGTTCTCCAAACAGGCCCAAATTGCACCAACTTCTATCATCGATTAAGAATTAAAAGATGGGTTGTAAGTCCTGAGGTTTAAGACGGAATGCTACGTTCCGTCACTTCGTCACCGTCACTCAACGTACGAATCACTACAGCAAGCAGAAACAACAAGCAAGGACAAGCAGCATTACGCTGCTATTTCACTTCGGTGTTCTGCGCGGGCGTGTTCCTTTCCTGGTCAAATCGACCCATTCACTCCTGAGGACTAATAAAAATGCATATAAAACATAGCAGCGATACGCTGTTATTTCACGCTGGTATTCTATGTGAGCATAGACCTTCCGCGGTGGAGCTGACCCATCCATGCTGCAGTCATAATACACTACAGCGTGGCTCTAGCTCAATAAATAAACTACAGTGGGGGGACAGCAATTGTGAATCACATATTTGGAAAAATCTGCTATAAACGCAAAATAATTGATCATACAATTTTAAAAAGGGGGTTTTTCATATATACCATGCCCTATATATACGATTATGTCAAGAGAGAATATTTTTTTTCAACATATATTTTTACCGGCCAATAAGTAACTTTTGCATATGAGTAACCGCATTTTATAGATATCGCATTCACGCGGAATACTCGGAGAAAACCTCTGTAGCAGACAAAAGATTAGACAAACAATGACACCGACAGACGGACTAGACAAGGTAAATAGATACGTAATACTACTCTGTGTATAAAGTATCGGGAATATGTCAATAAAAAGACCCGCGTAAAAGAGGTCGTTCTAATTTTTTTACTGCATGTTGGTAGCACTGTACTAATTTAGCGCGCAATGTTTGAGCGGGATCTGTCATTTAATTTGTTTTAAACTACACTTTTTGTTGGTCATAGTTTTGAGTTCTCGGCGATTTTTACAATGGAAAATATTGTTGAACAAAGAGTGTGCCTTAAATTTTGTGTTTCGAATGATATTTCATGTGGTGAATGAATCACTAAAAATGTTGCGAAATACCTACGGCGAATCGTGTATATCGAAAACAAGGGCTTATGAATGATATAAGGCTTTTAAAGAAGGCCGAGAAGTAGTAGTAGACTTGCCTCGTTCTGGTAGACCTTCAACCGCTACGACCAAAGAAAACATCGACAAAATCAAGAAGCTAGTGCTCGAAAATCGACGTATGAGTCTGAGAGAGTTGGCTAGTGAGGTGAACATATATTTTAAGTCCGTCCACAACATCCTCATTGACATTTTAGGCATGAAACGCGTCGCCGCTCGACTAGTTCCAAAAGAGCTCAATTTTGTTCAAAGAGCGCAGCGAAAGCATGTCGCTGAAGACATGGTTTCCCGAGCTTCTACGGATCCGACCTTTATGAAACGTATAATAACTGGCGACGAGACATGGGTTTATGAGTACGACATGCAAACAAGCCAACAGTCTTCAGAATGGCGTCTCGAAAACGAGCCGAAACCCAAAAAACCGCGGCAAAGTCGCTCCAAAATCAAGGTGATGCTGACAGTTTTTTTGACTACCGTGGTGTGGTTCACTCCGAATTCCTTCCAAAGGGAGAAAGAGTGAATAAAGAATATTATTTAGGCGTCATAAAGCGTTTGCGTGAGAGTATCCGCCGAAAACGTCCAGATTTGTGGCAACACAACTCATAGATGCTGCACCATGATAATGCACCATCACACACAGCCATTATAGTGAAGGAGTTTTTAGCGAAAAATTCAACAAAAGTTCTCGACCAAGCACCGTAATCACCTTATAAAGCTCCGTCTGACTTTTTTTTATTTCCCAAGTTAAAATTACCACTTCGAGGAAAACGTTTTGAGTCGATAGAAGCCATAAAAAAAAATTCGCTGAATGAGCTAAAGGCCATACCGCAAATAGCCTATGAAAAATGTATGGAAGACTGGGTGAAGCGTTGGAGATGTTGTATTGCAAGCGATGGGGCCTACTTTGAAGGCGATAAAATAAATTTAGATGAATAATTTGTATTTTTTGTTTTATTGACAAATTCCCGATATTTAGTACACAGAATGTATGTGTTTCGTTTTGCTGAATTTAAACATGAAACACCAATAATTTAAAATTAAAAATTTTGTACAGCCGACTTCAATATAAGTTATTAAGAATAACTCAAAAAATATTGGTCTAACCTTGATCAAATTCATATGGGACCACACGAGAAGTATCAGCTTTCATATAAAGAAAAGAATCATCGAAATCGGTTCACTCAGTAAAAAGTTATGAGGTAACACACATAAAAAAAAACATACGCGTCGAATTGAGTAACGTCTCCTTTTTGTAAGTCGGCAGAAAACAGAATCTATCAACATATTTCGTCTCATGAAATGCCAGAAAAATCTTGTTGCTTTTGATAAATTTCAGTATAAACTTATCGTTTATACCAGTCATAAGAATCTCAGACCGATGGGCAGCAGCAATAAAAAAGCGAGACGTCTGGTTGTGCCATTGGCAACCCACCTATCAAGTGTGACGATTAAGGCTATATTATTAATTTTACGTAGTAGAGCCATGCCACAGCTATATTAGTAGTATAGTTGTAGCACAAATGGGTCGGCTAGTCCGGAGAAGGACCTCGCTCTCACAGAATACCAGCGTAAAATGGCAGCTTGACACTGCTGTGTTTCGTATGGTGAGTGTAGAGAACCAGAGACCCGTTTTACTGGAAAAAAGGCATTCCATCTTAGTCCTCACGGGTGACGACGCATCTGCATTTTGATTCTTTATTGAGGATAAATGTAGATGTCTATGGGTCACAGCAACCACTTACCATCAGGTGGACTGTGTGCTCGTTTGTCACCCTATCCTATAAAAAAACCGCAAATCTCCCCAAGTAAAAGTTAAATTTTACGGGCTGATGAAGAATGTAGAAATACTGCTGCCCTTGTACAAACGTTTTGTCATGTTTGTTAAAATATCATTGATATTGCTCAATCAGAGAACCTTAAAAGATTTAAAAAATAGTTTTTAATCTAGACTAGATTACAAGTATGAGTATAATAAACAAATAAAATAAAGATGAAATTTATTCTTAATATTCTTACTAAAAATACATCCGTTATTATTTGTTTAAAAATTATTCGTCTCGAGATGAATATCAAATATGAACAGCGAGATCAAAAAATCGTTAAGTCTGCTCATGCTCCGTACGCGTCCCGAATTAAGGGATGCTGTGCAAGTGATCCCTAGCAAAACAATAACGACGTCATTATCTTCTTCAGTTATTTAAACGGAATGTTTGTGTAGTTAATTAATTAAAGCCGATATTGGTACCAGTGTCGTAAAATCTGTTCGGACGCACTATCTTTCTTCTTGTGATAGCACATGACGCTAAAAAATGATATTCTCTGTGAAACGGTGTCAATCGAGAATAAAAACAAAAGCATTTTACTGCTTAAGATGCGGTGCGAAGACTGTCGCCTTCTTATTTTGGGCTACACTGTACATGGTCGTGATGAAAATGACTATATTCAAGAGCAGCGAAAGCAATCAAGTGAAGGACTGGTCTCTAGTACCTGACAATTACACTAAATGGCTGGTAAAAATAATAATACTAAAGAAAATATTATTTCACTGTCAATCAATAGTGTAGCAAAATGTTCAATCAAGTAATATCCAATTTCTTAAGATAATAAACATAGGTATTGTGAGAATAACTGATCAAATTTAATTTTAAGTAAATAACAAGAAACTTATTATTATTCAAAAACTTTAAATTTAATATTGCCATAAGATTTCACGTGCATGCTCTATTGTAAAATCCTTAACATATCTCTATTATATAAGATATTGAAAAACCTCATTGTTAGTTTTTATTTAGTTGCAGGGTCCCGTTTTAGGCGACGACGATTCAGATGTAAGCAATGATAACTTATCTGAACCGGATAATGCGACTTTGACTGAATTAGAAAGGCGAGTAGCGAAAGTTAATGAAGTTTGTAATCTTAGATCTCTTCAATCGCAGTCAATAAACAGCAAGGAATTCTTTGTGGACCACGCTCATAATCTCGTGTGGTGCAATATTTTTAAAGCAGCTAGCTCGTCCTGGTTATATAATTTCAACATCTTAGGTAAATATTATTTCTAAAAAAACTTTTAAAATACCAACATCTTTAAGGCCGTCCCAATTATTTAATAAATAATAATAATATATTTCAGGTGGATACGATAAAAAATTTCTGGCCCGAACTCGACACACACCGTTAACATTAGCACGAAGGAAATTTCCTCGACCTAGCGAAGAGGAGCTGCGAGATGCTATTAACACACCAGGCGTTATATCCCTTCTTGTTGTAAGAGATCCATTTGTGAGACTGTTATCGGCTTACCGTGACAAATTAGAGTATATATCACCTCCCTATTACAGAAAATTAGCTAAAACCATAGTGGAAGAACACAGGGAAGCGGCGACTAAAGTTCTAGGCACGATTAAAAGTTACGGGCCAACATTTTATGAATTCGTTGCGTATTTGATAGTAAAGTATAAGTCGCAAGGTCCAAACATGAATTTTGATGAACATTGGGCGCCATATTACCAGTTTTGTTCGCCGTGCGCCGTAAATTTCAGTGTGATTGCCAAGGTGGAGACTTTGTCCAGAGACTCAGCATATGTGCTTCAGCAGCTTGGACTCGGACATGTTTTGGATAGAAGAGTACGAGATCGCAGGACGAGACTGCGTACGGTGATGAATAAATCCCGGGATGGAAAAAATACGTCCGCGTTGCTCAAACATTACTTTAGTCAACTTGATGAGTGTATGCTCAATGATCTATTACGTATATACGGTATAGATTTCGAAATGTTCGGATATAAAGCAAAAGTATATAAGCATTATGTAAGAAAATAAAATCTTTGTGCATGTCGTTGACATTAAGAAGTTATGGATAAAAAATATAAAGACACTTACTTGACAAAACAGTCAGCAGAAAGATGTAATCACTAAAAGTGATCAATCCCGATGAGCCAAGCTTGTAGAAAATTGAATCTTCGTCTAGATCTAGGTTAAGTCGTTGGCTGATACTCTGTATTAAAATATATAAATATTCAAATGTTTGATACCTTTTAAATGGAATTCTAATTATATATACAAGCATATTAGTATAATTTTCTATTGACCTACTCGATTTATATCAGCATAATATCTTTCAAAATAATAACTACATTAATATTTTTATAAATATTATATATATAGTAATTTGTAACTTCTCTTTTATATTCTCTATTTTGGCTATGTTTATTGAGATACTTCAAACTAAATGTGCTCTTTTCTTGCATACAAATAAAATATAAATAATAGACTATATAATCACTTATTGTTCGAGCTATAAAGCAAACTTGAAAAAAACTTGTGTAAAAAATTAAATTTGTTACACTTATAAATTTAAAAAAAGTTACAGTGTATAAAAGGCGAAATAATTTTAAAAACTAAGTAGGTATCATGCCACAAGGTAGAGGTAGTCTAAGGGTATATATATATTATTGTTGGCTGTTTCTACAATAACAAGCTCCTTAGATTATACTAGGTTTATTTGAGTCATTGTCCTGCTAACTAAGGGATATGCCAACGAGATATCATGTTACAATAATTTAGAAATGTAAACATCTGCACTAATAAACATAATAAACTTATAAGTTATTTCAAATATATATATATATATATATTGTTGATTATAAATAATTTATATTATTAAGTAAATACCTTAATTCTTCTTTTAAAACAGTATTGTACAAATAAATACAATGAACGTAATCAGAAAGTTAAATACTGTTTTATATACTTTAAAAATTACTTGGCTGCACCCTTAAATAATCAGGCCAATGATAATCAAGCTCGTTATAAAGTGTAATCTACAGTAATAATATTTTGTTAATCTTGTGAATAAATATTATTTTATAAACTAATTCTATGTGTAAAGTTACAAAAAGAAATAAAATCAATAGCACGGAGAGAAAAGGTACAGTGTGTGCATATACTAGAAAAATTTATAGAACTGTGACCAGTAGTGGCAAAGAGAAGAGAAAGGACAGTACCTCATCGATGTTCTGAAAAAACAAGAAAGTGTTGTGAGTGGCTTACAAGATGGTGCCAGTGCAGTAGTTTTGAAATTTTTATAGAGAAGATTCAGAATTGTTTTACATATTTTTGTGTACGTTAGTCAATACAAGTTACCCAAGGAAAATAACTTATATTTGTGGTTATTTACATGTAAGCGTGCATTAAAGATTTATTGCAGTTAAAGTATTCATTTATATAGTACTAATAAATAAAGGTGAATTGAAAATAAATTCAAATAACTATGACTACTCTATCAAATGCTTTTTCTTTGTTTTTCATAAAACCAAAATTACTAATGACCATGTCCATTTTAAGCAGCAATAACACTTACTAAGTCAATATGAAATCTGAATTACATAAAACATTGAGTATTAAAGAGGATATTTAAAAATATCATATATTAATGGGGTGGAAGTTAGGTTATCTCATAACATAAAATCAAAAATAAATTTATTTTGCCTTACCTTAGGATCATATCTCCTATATTGGTCCAAGCCCAAACCTGGAAATATTATTAATTGAAGCAATAAGTTGTTAAAACAATAATATGTTAAAATACAAAATGAGTAATGCTAGTTATTTATGTCTAGTGAAAATAAACATTTAAAAATAGTATATAAATTTTAATATTAAGTATATTAGCTATAAAAATAATAAATATTTGAATAACAGTATTATTTTTATGTCAATTAAATTTGTACTTATTTTCGATATAAGTTAAAAATAATATAATAATTTAACCGATTCGTTGCGGTACCAAATTTCGACAACTTTTAGCTGTGGCGGCAAACAAATTTGTATGTCGTGACTTCGTAGATGACACGCCTATTGTGCCATCAGCCATGTGTAGAAATAATTTTCTTTTTTATGCTTTTTCACTTGTTTAGACCTAATTAAGTTTAGTTGACATCAAACATCAGTTGCAAACTGAAGGATACTTGTTTTTAGTGGCTAACTACGTGTTTTCCTTGAAATGGAGAGTAAGTGACTTTTTTATGCAGAGATTACAAACCATTTGTACTATTTTTTTTTGTATAAAAATAATTTATATAAGTAGGTACAGCTAAATCACCCTGAAAAACCTTGATTTTTATTAAATTTTCACCAATAATAACGTTTGTAAATATCAAACAATCAAAAACCTTAATTTGGAAAAAATAATCTTTTTTTTATAGGAGAGGGGCAAACGAGCATGCGGCTCACCTGATGGTAAGTGACTACCGCCGCCCTTGAACAACCGCAACACCAGGGGAATTGCAGATGCGTTGCCGGCATTTTAAAAAGGAGTATGATTCATTGAATCATTGATATTTACAAATGTTAAATATTATTTAATGCTATACAAATGTAAAAGTAAAGTGGATCTGAAAACGTCTACTTAGTAAGAATAGCAAAACAAAAGTGCAAAGAAAAAGCAATAGCCACATGCGCTGGCGCTGTACGGCGGCGGATGAAGAAAATACTATTTATTAGCGAACTTTTTTTATACATGAACGCGTTCGAACTGTTTCAAGCAAAAATAAACCTTATACCATATCACAAGAGCAATGGTACATCGTAGGTCTATTCGGCCATATGATAGTAATAAGACGGCAGTTCAACCATTTTAAGCAAAGTTAAACAATAAGACAAATGCATTGTTTTTTTAACAGGAGACTTTGTTTTCCATAAACTTATTTACATCTTGAGTTTGTGAGCGATCGCAATGAGTGCTATTATTTGTTACTTATTGGACTATTTTTCCACAACATGATTTAAAAAACCCACACAGTAAACTCTTTTTACTGTGTGGGTACAATGTACAAGTTAAAAAAAGATTGTCAACCCCTAAAAATTTCAAATTTTCAAAATATCCAGAAACGAACTACTTGCAAAATAATAAATATTTTGTTCTAGATAAATCTTCCAAAAACGCAGTTTGAGCGAATTAAAATGATTTTTAAAATGAGACGACTCGCGTGTCATACGCCACACAAAAAAGGCGTGCCATCCGCACTGAATCGGTTAAGTGAAAATTTATTTTCTTTCAGCATTTACCATCAGGCTGTTTGACTCCAGGTGTCATTGAACGTAAAAAATCATCAGGCGTCATAAACACCTCATGTTGATCATTGTGTTGAGCCTGGAGGGTAGCAAAGTAACGAAATACCTTATCAGGTGTCGAGTATTGGCGCATTCGATTTTCGTACTCGATTATCTAATCCAGCAGCAATCCAAATGCGAAAATAGAGTAAAAATTATTAGTATAATAACAAGACAATAAATTGTATTAATTACATATATACAATATGTAAAAAAACGCTGTCCCATCCGTGGGGTTCTAGGTATTGTAATATGAATCTGTTCATATAATCTTTTTCAGAAAATAAATAAATTAATTTACCCCACAAAATGTAATATATAATTTATTTAATTGGGGAAACTAGCATAACAACATTGTCAATTAACAATACAGCCACACATTCAAAAGTATTATAACTGTAGTGATTATATACTCTTTGATTATAATCGTTTTTTTTTTATAGGAGTTTATGGCCTGGTATCTAGACCTTTAGGCCAAGTCTTGAGTATTTTTATTCGGTTTATTATAAATAATTATCCTTCATAGTTCACTGCTTCACAATATGTTGATGCGTCACATTGTGCAGCCCTTGAGAGATTTTGACGGCAACTTGAGCCAGCAGACAGCTGATAGTTGGCGATGGTATCTCAAGGCGCCTATGCAAACAAACAGCTTATCTTGAGAATCCATCACCATCAGAGCACTTGTTTCACTGTTTCCACTAATAGTTCACATGCGTAGACAATTAATACACAAAATCGCACCACTTTTACATATCAAAGTCCACTTCAAACCATTATTTAAACAATAATACAGGAGCAGCAAACCGCCGCTGATCAAGTTCCCGCCAAAAACCCTTATAATCGTTTAACACGTAATAGTGTTGCCACATTTAAACATACATTTTAAATTATAGCATTTTTATAATGTTTAAATTTTAATGCTTAAATTATTAATGTTATTTTGTATGGTTATTTCATTGTGGTACTTAGGTACCCCTTTCGCATCAGGTAGGGTGTTTTACATATTGTATGTATCAGGGGTTAAACGCTCTCATTTGTTTCACACCACTAGTTTAGCACCAATTAAATTGTAAATTACAATTTTAAATGCTCATTGTTTAAATGCTCAGCAGGGAGGGCAAACAGTCATATAATATTTCGGGGACATATTTCCAAGGAATATAATATTTGGAGGATATGTTAAATATACCAACACGCACTGGAGTTTCGCGACGGTCCCATTTCTTCATAACTTTAAAAGAAATGAGAATAATGCCTGTGTCCAGCAGTAAGACATATATATTATGTTAGTTGTAAATTAACTTTACTTTAAGTGTAAAATAATATACATGATTGTTATGCAATTGAAAATATAAAAATCATTCCAGTCTAGTTTTAAATAAATACTGAAATAAGTATAATAAGGGTTACAGTATGAAATTGCCGTTTTATATTGAAAAATTCAAATATTATTTTTTTCTAAGAAAAGTATTTTTATTTAATTGAATTATTTACCCTCATTATCTATTCATTTCTGCCATCTTGAGGGAAGATGATTAATAATGCCTTTGCAATAAAGATCTAGGAATCTGGGCTCTACAGTCTACGGAGGCATTTTGTACTGCTTCTGCGAACAAAATGTTTTTCCTTGCAGAAAATTGTCCAAATTTCTGAAAAAATTGGGGCTAGTTCTAGATCATCAAACAGTTACTTTTCTACGGGTGAGCTTTGCTCTGATATATGACCTAGGTTCAGCCATTGCACATCAGTTAATTCATGTAACCATTTTTCGAGCTTTTTTTTAATTTTCTGATTTGGTGCAAATTAATCAATATTGTGGGTAGGATAAATGTAGATGTCTACGGGCAACAGCAACCACTTACCATCAGGTGTACTGTGTGCTCGTTTGTCACCCTAACCTATAATTAAAAAAAACTAACGTCAAATTATGGCGCTAATTCCTTGGTCATTTGATAAGCTAAGCATTTTATAAGCTATATTGATTTACCGTAGTGTCCGGTCTTCGCTTTTTTTTAATAGAATAAGAGTGACAAGCGAGCACACAGTCCACCTGATGGTAAGTGGATGCTGCGGTCCATACACACCTACATTTATCCTCGATCAAGAATCAAAATGTATATTCTTTGTCACCCCTGAGGACTACTATGGAATGCCTCGTTACCAGTAAAAAAGGTCTCCGGTTCTCTACACTCAGCTAACGAAACATAGCAGCATTGAACTGCTATTTTATGCTGATGTACTGTGAGATCGTGGTCCTTCTCCGGTCGAGCCCAATATTTCGTGTTACAAACATAATATAGTTGCATCGTGGCTCTACCATGTATACGTGTGGTTCGTTCAGTACAGTTCAGTGATTAAACCAAAAACAGTGCGTTCGTTACTCGTATCTTTTCCAAACGCAGCATTGATATGGAGAGCTGACTCTGTTGCGTTAGAATAACGTCAAAACTCATATTTTTGAGAATTACTCAAACTTTTAGGCCACGTTCCCACGACACGCCCCCGCTAAGTGCACGCCATACGCGTCAGCACCCGCGTCTAACTCGCTTTGAAATTCGTTGCATATAATTTAAGTCTTATGACACATCAATATCTTATTATATATCTATAATTGCATTTATCGACGTTTAACCGCACACGCCCCGCTACGTCTTGCGTCCGCGCTTCGGCTAGTGTCGTATTGATTGACTGTGATCAAGTTTAGTAGCTTGGTAGGTTTTTAATTAAATATTAATGGATGACATCGATAAAGAAACATTTATTTCTTTGGTGGAGGAAAAGGACGTGCTTATAACGCCACTAGATCACTGCACTAGTTGTATAAGCGGACGAGAGGCGTGCGCTAACTATGCGCATGGCGAGCGTGGGTATAAGGCGGGCACAACGCGTGTGCAGGTCCTGTGCGTGGTAGGCGCGGGCCATCTGACATGCCCTTAAGGTACATGTTTAATTTAAACACTGAATGTTAAAACAATTGAAAATCATAGTACTGTTAAACATTTTTTGAGATTAGAATGTTATAGTTTTTGTGTAAAAAAAGTTTTCATCACTTGGACAACGCAGGTTTAATTTTAATTCGAAGCGGCCACTCCATTAAAACGGCAACTTCATACTTTAACCCCTATTATTTATTTCATGATAGGTCAAAAAATAAAGTTAGCGTCTTGCACTACAATCATCAATATTTTACCATGAAAGTTAGAAAGCTAAGCTAAAAATAGATACAATATTCATTAACCCCAGAAAGCAAATTGCAAGAACATAAATAAATAAAAAAGAATACCATCAGGCTGCTTCATGCCTGGTGTGATTGCTCTTAAGAAATCATCAGGCGTCATGTACACTTCACTGTTTTCTCCAATACTTAATTTAACAGTTGCAAAATAGCGAAATATCTTGTCAGGTGTTGAATAAGATCTCATACGATTTTCATATTCAATAATCTGAGAGAAATAAAAAAAAATAAAAACAAATATTTTTTTTCTTAAGACAACAATAAATATGAAACAAAAACTGTAATTATACTAAATTTTTTATATAAATTATACCTTTCTATCTCTGAAGCCAATCTTTTCCTTGCGGTACCTCTTTTTCTTATTATCAACTTCATTTTCTGTATCAGTTTCTGTTATCTCTTCAGCTGCAGTTATTGCAGGGAACACTTGACTTCTTAACCTTAAATAATAAAAGATAGTTTAATCTACTTCCTTGAGTACATAGCCATTTAAATTAATTTATCTAAATATACTTCAAGACATTTCGGGTGCATTACGCGGTAGAGCCATGGTGCAGCTTAATTATGACTGTAGCATGAATGAGTCAGCTCCAATGGTGAGGTACCATGCTCTCACAAAATACCAGTGTAAAGTAGCAGCCAAATGCTGCTATGATTCGTATGGTGAGTGTATAGAACCGGAGACCCATTTTACTGGAAACGAGGCATTCCATCTTAGTCCTAAGCGGTGGCTATGCATCTGCATTTTGATTCTTGATCAAGGATAGATGTAGATGGCTATGGGCCACAGCATCCACTTACCATCAGGTAGATGGTGGTCCATGTGTGTACTCGTTTGTCACCGTTGCAGCCGAGCACTGAACTGCTTTTAATGTATTTCTATGCCTAACGCCCTTTGATCTTTATTTAGACAAGGACGCGAGGGCTAGTTTGTATAGTATTAACACCCAGGGTGGTTGGAGCTTGCTTTCTTAAAGATTGAGATCCATGCTCAACTCAATAAAGGAAACATAGTCTGGGAGTCTAGGAGCTCGCGACGAATTTTGGTAAGGTCCTTTTGGCAAGTTGAAATTGTGAAAAAAAAATATAATTTCGTCAATCCAGTCCCGCAAGTCTGGCAGAGCGTTTGCGGCTATTTCGTTACTGCGCAGCACATAACATTTGCAATTAAAAAAAAAACCATAAAAATGTTTTTGGCAACTTGATTTCTTTTTTATTTTTTAATTTAGTTTTTATATAACTCAAAAAAAAAATCCCTCCTGATTGTGAACCCTTAGGCGCAAACGTAACACTCATCTGGGAATCTATGTACTTCGCCCATAAGAATTGAATTTGCACACAACTAAGCAACTCCTTCAACTGATTGAAGACATAGGGCTTAGCAGTGAACTATAGCCATAGCAGTGATCATAATAGATCTTATAGGTTGCAGTGATACTGGTCTTTTTGGACCTACATATCCACTTGCACAAAAAAAAATGCCACTGTAGAATAAGACAGAATTGTCTGCCAAAGTAGACTGCAGATATTCAAAAGCAATTTTAGTAGAAAAAATTTTTAGGCTGAAATATTTAATAACCACATGAAGTTCGAGTTTCTCCATTTTACATACAAATCAAATTCTCGCTAAATAAGAAGTATGAAAAAAATTGAGTATAGATTTTAATTTAGTTTTTTCTCGCCTTGGCTACTAACAAATTTAAGATAAAAAAATCAGACCGCATTTCTATAACTCATTGATAAAAGTGTTCTATTCCGTAAACTTATTGATCAACCTAGTAAAAGCAAATTATCATAAATATTTTTAAGCAAGTTAAGGAGTCCTGGCCTGATGGTACTCCTCCTGACAGTATGAAACTCATATATTAAAAAAATCCACAGTACAACAATATAAATACATATATGTACAGTTTATCTAATATTCGCTTGAAGATAAGGACATTTCAGTATTACACCTCTCAGCTTATTACTGCGAGCTCAACCCTACAGAATTAATATGGGCTTAAATAAAGGGACATGTGGTACAACATTATATTAATAACATGCAAATTAGATGAGGTGAAAAGATTAAACCTTTAAACTTACAAAATATTACACCAGATATATGGTAATCTTGCATTGATGTCATTAAAGGAGAGAAAAGGTTTTGTCAACTTGATTGCATAATTGATGATGTGTTATTATTAGCATTGTTTGAATTTCTTATTTTTATCGTCTAATAATGATAGTGATTAATTAAGATGTTAAAGACGAAGAAGTTTCACCAATACTTTTGTGTTACAAGTTGTTATCTTAAATAAAATATTGGTTGGAAAAACAACTATTATTTCCATTAAGCATTGAATCATCATGTGATTATAGTGACAACTAAATGTTAAGTGGTTTCATTCATTTGTATTGTTGAAACTTGTAATATGTGATGTTGTAGAATGTTATTAAAAATGACTGTCATTTCATCACTCTAAGTATTTAGTACCTACTGTCTTACCTACCATAACACTACAGTCAAAACCTGTTATAATGACTTCAAAGGGACTACTCATATTTGGTCATAAAAACTGATAGTTGTAATAACCGGTGATATTTTTGAGGTACAATTAGACATGCGCGCCGAGCAAGAATTCGGCGGCGGCGGCGCGCCGACCCATTGTGGTCGGCGTGGCGACGCCGCGCCGGCGCGGCCGTATTTTATTTTAATTTTTATAAACATTTATTTAAAATAAGGTAGTAACAAGTGAAACATAGACCTGGATAGGAATTCAAATGTAATTTCTCAAAATAAAAACAAACCAAACAAGTTCTAATTAATTATACCTTATAATTTGTGCAAAAACGAAAAAGCACATTTTTTTGTTTCTTGCACAAACTATAGGAAATTAAAATTGTGTTTTTTGCACAATGTATAATTATCATTAATAAAAATAATTTTATTAACGTGTACTGGGCTTAGTCTAGATCTTTTAGCAGTCACAGTTAGTCCCACTATAGAAAAAACGCGCTCACTAGGCGTGCTAGTAGCAAATGTTCTGATCACAGAGTACTTTTTATATACATACTGAAAGTTCTGATACGCGCTCCAGACTGTAAAAATTTCATTTGTTCTATTTCCGCCGCTCGCTTCAATTCCGGTAAGCGATACCGAACGATTTTTACGATCTTTTTACATTTTTTTATTGATTTTTGAATTTTTAAATAATTGCATGGTTTTATTGACCCCGCGCCCACGCGCCCGTCCCGCGTTGGTTCACGGCGCGCCGATCGGATTTGTCGGCGCGGCGCGGCGTGGGCAGGGCGCGGCGAGGCGCGGCGGCGCCGGCGCGGCGCGCATGAATAGGTACAATACAGAGTTATTTTTAATTATGTAGTATTATTAAATGTGTAGGTACTTATAAATTTCATATAAAACATATAGGTAATATGAAAGAACATTATGATTTTTCTGTATTCATAAAGTCCGTTTGGAACACTCCTGTCATGCATACTAATTTTGTAGTTCACATTGGGTTTTAATAAGTTTATTGTCATAATTTCCCTGGATGTGAAACAATTCATTAACAAGAACAATCTTTCATAATACAATAGTATAAATAGTAAAAATTTCGAATCCTTTGGCAGACGGCCTTAGCCTTCGTATAATGTAGGCCACAATTGTTATATAGGGTCGATGCGCTGGTTTTCGGCCTTTTAGTGGAGTTGTTAACTTTCAGGTACTAGAAAAAATAATTGCCATTATGCTGTCCTAGTGCTGTTAATGTTAATTCGTAGCTTACATAATGTAGTTTTCATTTTTGTAACTTATTGATGCTACAAGAAAAATCTCTTTTTTATAATAATTTTTGATGTGAAAAATATGTGAAATGCTAGTATTCGGCCCCAAATTTTAAATTTCGGCCCACAAGAATTTTAGTTTTCGGCCACTGCATTAGACAATAGAAAAGGTGCCTTAACCTTAACTTAATATAATTTTTGTAAAATTATAATAAAATTTCGTGTCGTTAAATATGGCAATCAAATCTTTTTAATTTTTTTTGTACTTCCTCATATTTTCATCATCTTCAGCCTTTCCATTACATCCCTTCACAAGTCCACTGCTGAACGTAGGCCTCCCCCAAGTAATGCACAAAACACGGTCCTGAGCCACCTGCATCCATCAACTTCCTGCATGTCTTACCAGGTCGTCACTCCATCTAGTGGGGGGACGCCCTACACTTCGTCTGCCGTTACGTGGCCGTCATTCTAGAACCTTTTTTCACATTGGTTGTCGGTTATTCGAACTATATAGATGGTCCATTGCCACTTCAGCTTACTAACCCGTTGGGCTATGTCGGTCACTCTGGATCTACTACGGATATCCTCATTTCTAAGTTTATCACGCAGAGAAACTTCGCGCATAGCCCTCTCCATAACTCGCTGAGCAGCCTTGAGCTTCCTCATCCGGCCAGCAGTGAAGGACCACGTCTCAGTTCCATAGGTCATCACTGGCAACACACACTGGTTGTACAGTCTCGTTTTGTGGTATACCTGACGAGAACATGTGCTGTAATTTCCCGAACGCTGCCTCATATTTTAGTCCAACAAAATCTATACATCTCAAATCCATTTGGTGCAAAACTCACATCCAATTTTTTCCATATCTTCTTCTGTATCGCTTATTAAAATGTCATAACACCAAGTACAATTTACTTTTACTCTTTCATTTGCCTTTATGGAATTCTTAGGTTTTGCACTTTTTAACTTTTCTTTTTATATTCTTTTCTTTTTCAAAATATCTTATCTTTCTTTAACTTAGTTCTAACTTCTCTATTTTAACTTTCTCTTTATCTTTATAAAATTTTCGCCACTCTGCATATCAAATTACTACAGAAGAAGGTGTACTTGTACTGTTAATAGTTGGTTTTTTTACGAGTTCCGGTTTAAATAAATGTTTTGTCTATCACATCTCTGGATTCTTTATTTAATTGTACTGAAGCCGATGCACATTTTCTAAAGTTTCAAAGGGGTTGTTATCATCGGTGTTAGTGGTGGTGGTATCATCGTGGCCATTGTACTACTTTGAGTCGTTATTACTGCATTACTGAAATCTATTACCATTTCCGGCATTGTCAGTACTGTTGTCAGTCATTGGTAGGCTTATTTTAGTTGGGATTACAAGAACATCACCTAACGATACTAAGGAACCGATATCCAAATAACTTCCTGCCAAATGCAATATTGAAATGTTTTTATCGATAAACGATTCTAATGCATCGGTAGATGAATTCATAGTTACTAGAACATTGTTTTTTTTCTGACAGATTTGATATTAAATGTTTCAAAACTTTCCTTGTGGAAACTAGGTCTACGTTAGTTATTTCTTTATAAGTATTTTTTTCTGGTGTCTGAATTTTCACTAATTAGTCTTTCCGGGGTATTCCGGACACATTTTGAGTAATCCACTACA